GGATTCTGGGAGGGTGGGGTGATACCAAACACGTGTAGTGATATAAGATGCCATGCTAGCTTCCAGCTCTAGCTAACCCTAAATCCTAAACCCTAAACTCTAAAGCCTGAAGCCTAAACCCTAAATCCTAAACCCTAAATCCTAAACCCTAAGCTCTAAACCCTAAAGGCTAAACCCTAAATCCTAAACCCTAGGCTCTAAACCCTAAATCCTAAACCCTAAGCTCTAAACCCTGAAGCCTAAACCCTAAATCCTGAACCGTAAACTCTAAACCTAAAGCCTAAACCCTAGATCCTAAACCCTAAGCTCTAAACCCTGAAGCCTAAACCCGAAATCCTAAACCCTAAACCCTGAAGCCTAAACCCTAGATCCTAAACGCGAAACTCTAAACCCTAAAGCCTAAACCCTAAAGCCTATAAACTGTGAGAGGGCTTAGCCGCGGCGTCCGAGACCCTAATAACTGCCTGGGCAACCAAACAACCGGAAATACCATGGTTGTTCCCAATACGCGGTCTAGAGACTAGGGTTTTGCGGTAAGGGTTAGGGGTTTACGGTTGGGGGTTCAGGGTTTAAGGCAGGTTGTTTGGGAACAATCACTTTATATCTGGTTGCTTGGCTACCCCGGTAGACCCTCAAACCCCGTGGCATTGGGATTCGCCTGTTTTAAAACGATGCAATTGTGACACGATGCGGTTTAGAGTTTATAGGGTTTAGGGGTCAGTGACATCGCAAAGCCCTCACAATGTAATAGTGAGTATAACAAATAGTAGGAATGTAGGAGGATTCTAAGATAATCGCAGTCATCTCTCATAGTCACTATTATTGGTTGGGGGGGTTCGTTCAAGCCCTAAACCTCCCCCAAAGATCCAATGTCAGAATAAACCAAATATTCGCAGATTTTTGCTTAAGAAGTCACAAGCTCTGATTTCTGAACCTTAACGCGGTCTAGGGTTTAGGGTTCTGGATTAAGCCCGTATAAATTCAAGAACTACAAACCTGCAACTTGGAACCCTAAACCCGAACCCTGAACGCCAATCCCTTACAGGGGTAGGTTCTAATTCTAATTCTTACTAACCTTGATCCTTATATAATCCTTAAAGCCATAAGAATTCAGTCTTTATCGGGCCCCCCCACAGTATCCTAAACCCTAAAACCCTAAACCCCTAAACCCCTAAACCCTAAACCCTAAATCCTAAACCCGAAACCCCTAAATCCCTAAACCCTGAACCCTAAACCCAGGAATCACCTTCCGGCTGGCAAACTACTCCGACGATCCAGTGGCTTACCAGTGGAAGATGCAGACTGGCTCCCAGGAGCGTGGGTTGGAGGGGCTTAGGGTTTGGGGTTTAGGGTTTAGGGTTTAGGGATTTAGGGTTTAGGGTTTAGGGATTTAGGGTTTAGGGTTTGGGGCGTTGAGTTTAGGCTTTAGAGCTTAGGGTTTGGGGCGTTGAGTTTAGGGTGCAGAGCTTGAGATTTAGGGCTTGGGATTTGAATTGCGGAGTTTAGGAATCAGGCTTTTAGGTTGAAGGTCTAGCGTTTTAAGGACCCTCCTGAGCCGCTGGAATTGGTGTCCCAATAGGTGGCTGTCTGCGTCGGCTGTTCCGAAGCATGAAACTAGTTGTGTGGCACAGATCTTGAATTCTGCGGATCTGCAAAAATTGAGGTCTCTTGCTGAAAGTCCTTAGAGTCAGGATTCTAGTAGATTGGGGTTTAGATTGGGTCCCCAATCTATGGCAACTCCCATTGCCTGGAGATTGATGGGTAGCTAGAAATTGGGTTTTGAGTAAACATGAGTAAACCAAAAGGTGTAGCTAGAACCGGCATCATCTTGTTGATGCACCCAGCTACAACTACGCAAGTCCTCGGTGCTTCAGCTGACCATGCTCTCAATCCTAAATCTAAGGAGTTTCAGGTTGGTAGTTTCCCGCATGTGTGCCTCACACAGCCCTTATGTAGCCGAGATGTCCTCAGATTTTCCTGACATTTGCTTTTTGTAAGGGCACCGACCCAGTAGCTCGTCACCTGAAAATTCCCTGGACTAAACCCCAAACCCATGATGAACGTGCCTGGTCCGTTTTGAGGATGTTAAGATGGGGGGCAGCGTGCAGGGATACATGCTGGTTCTATTTGTTACAACCCTTTGTTTGTGATACTTGTATCCCTTCTCGGAACTGCCCATGCAGCGCCAGGATTCCACACATTGTCTTGGTAACCATGTGCTAAGGGAGCCCAATGCCCTTGGTTAAGGAATGTGCCCTACGTGAAAATTCTGGATCCTAGTAGAATTCAAGGTATTTCCTGGAACTACGGTTCTCTGGGTTTACAACGATCCGTGACCCCTGAACCCTAAACACTAAACCCAACACTCAAAACCTTGAACCCTAAACCCTGAATTGAACCCAAACCCTGAACCCTAAACTCATGGCTTAGGCCGCCCACCTACGATGGTGGGCGGCGCCTATGCCACCTCCACCTTGATGGCGCAGGCCGACATACCTGGACCTGCCTCAGCACAGCCACGGGAACGGATAGGCCCGGTACCGGAGCCCGTTCTCCATAGAACCAGTACTGGTTCCCTTATAGAGTGATTACCCTAAACCCCAGGCCGTTGTTACTGGTTCCTGGGGGCGGACTAAGGCTCCTCTGCGAGTGAATGCCTGAGAGCACGGTGGCCTTAAATTTTTCAACCACCTCACAAAACATCCAAATGCACAAAACAAACGGCGGGCCTGCCACGGCTTTCCAGGGCGTCGTTTCGAGGGCCTCCTGTGTTCCAGGACCACCCAGACCTCTCGCGTTTGCCTCCCCCCCCCCCTTTAGGGCCCCAAACCCTGCCTCCCAACGCGTCAGGAACTCTTTTTTTGACAAGAGCCTGTGAGTCTACGGCCGCCACAGTCCAGTTGCAGAAAAACCTTGTGTTGTTGACCAAGATGGACCTAACTGAGCTTAGGTCCTACACCCTAATAAGAATAGGTTTGGGTGGTTTGGCCGCCTGTGACTGCGTGGGGTGGGCAAATGTAGATGGCCAGCTGTGGACAGGCTACAGCAGCATGTCGCACAGCACGAAACGCTCGAAGCGACTTTGTGTGGCATGGCCAGCTCTGCTTGAGCGTTATATCACAGCAAACCCTGAAGCCTAAACTCTAAACATCTCTAAGCCCTACACCCCAAACCCCGAATCCTAAACCCAAATCTTGAACCTTGTAGACAGTTTCCAGCCAGGAGGAGATGTCAGAAGTTTTCGCTGAGCGGCGGCAGGCATCGCAGAATCTGGGATGTAAACCCTAATCCTTAAACCCAAAACCCTGTCGCCATTCTGCAGACATCTCTGGGTTAGTTAAGTGCTGAGAAATCCCAATTTGGGTGTGAGCCAGAAGCGTTGTTGTCACCGCTTGTGTTTCCTTGAGAGGATTTTGAGTGATGTGATGCAGCATGGGGGGGATCTAGGGTGTGCCAAGTGATTTTGCATCATGGCATCATGGCAATAACCACCACGCCGTGGAGTGTCCCTCAAGGGTGGGAGGGGTTCTACTGTAGGGATTCACTATTCCCCAGCTAGTTTGATTTCAGCTACCGTTTTTATGACTCATAACTCAGTTATCTTTACCTGTGAACCTGCAAGCATGATCACCCTACACCTCAAACCCTAAAGAATTCCCATTTCTGATATGAACTATAGTCTCCAGTCCTTGAAGGGGAGTTATAAGAAGGGATCATATAGGGGACTACTACAGGGGTTACAACGGGCGATACTAGGGGTTAGACTTGAGGTCATGTCCCCAACATCTAGTGGCTGAGGGTGTATAGATATATATATATACATATATATATCTCTCTCTCTCTCTCCGACACAGAGGCGTAGTCGAAGCTGTACCCTAAACCCGCAACCCTAAACCTTGGGCTCCCTAGATGATGTCTGCGGACAATTTCGCCCAGCTCTACGATCTGCTGAACGCAGACGGCGTATGGGCTTACTTGCCTCTTGGAGTGTTTTCAGGGTTTAGGGGTTATGGAGGGCTTGAACATAAATCCAAAACCCCAAAATCCTAAAC